GAGCCTGCCCACTTGCGCATTCATATCTCCGGCAACCACCACAATGTCTGAGCTTTTAGCTCGCCGCAGCAGAGCATTCAGGGCGTCGTAAAAGCTAAGGGACACGGCGCTCTCCAATTAAATTGGCTTACGCAAATGTACAACACTCACATCCAGCAGCAAAGTATACGGTATTGGCAACACCGTCAAGCCCTAAAGTACGAGCACAGAACACCAGGTCTATAAGACTCAGCTGCGTGGGATCCATAACTAGAGAACCGCGGAAGCTGAATCATCTGAACTTCAAAATTCGTACTTCTAGACTCAACAGGTCTACCTCAACGGAATGTTTTTGCATAACTACAGCCCGGCCAGGTGAGTGAGTGCCAGTATCGCTGGCCTGTACTCCGATTAATTGTTGAGCGACTCATTCTCCAATTGCCTGTGTGAATTTGCCGTGACCCGGTGTTGGCTGAGTCCTTGAGCGACGAGTTTTCAGAGGAAGGTCTACCTGACTTTTATGCATAATCTTTCAAAGAAGCTCTGTTTTGGGTTTCAAAAATCATCCCTGTGAGGGGAGAGTTTCCTCGTGGTGGGGGTAACCAGTGAGCATAGCATCGTATGCATTATACACTTGGGTACTTGTAATTTGTTGAATTTTGTTGAGGCTGACGTGAGAGTACTGTGGACGTTTGGAGTCACCTAAATTGAGTGTTATACATATCCAATAAGCATGCGTATCTGTGATCGATACACACTAGCATCACAAGAACGTGTATGATGTTGGACAACCTTCATCATCTAAGTCATTAGGAGGTAAGATAATTTGACAGGAAGATATGTTACATTGAAAACAGTACTAATTATCAGGAACTCGATAAGTATAAGTTGACATAGTTTCGCCCAACCAATAACCCTAAAGGTCTTCAATCTATATGGCGACCTTCAAATGCATCATCGGTTGGTAATATGTACATCCAGGAGAGAACTGGGGGCTGTCAGGTCAAATCTAGGCAAGAAGAGTTAAATGTATCAACCGTGTTTATTAAGTGAGCTATTTGAAGCGACAGTGGAGTAATCAAACGAGGATAAGAAAGTGTCTCCTTTTTGGTTCTAAAGCGTTTGTTTCCTCGACAGAGGGTCGCAATGACAGAAAATCCCAAGTGTATTATGGATTGAGGTGTTTTCTCATGTAGAGTCACCTCAAGAGGAAAGTAATGCACCCAAAAACTCCTCAGTGGGCACGAAATACAAGAATAACCGACCAACCTTGACAACCACCCAATGTGCGTCGGTCTCGAAAGGTTGATAAGGGCTCTCGGTTTCTACCTGGTTCCTAGTATCACAACGTAGAGTTGACCCATACGTCCTGGGACCATAAAAAATTAATACCTGTAGAGTTACCTGTAAGTGTCTTGAAAGTCCCCTCCGAAAGTTATGAAAATACGTTTGAGTAAGCACGTCAGCCACATGAAAACGATTGAGAACTGATTCAACCAAGCGGCCTAGGATGATGTTCACGAGGAACAGTTATAAAAATATAACGTTGTCGAAGTGCGACATGAAGACTGAGCGAAAGGGTAGATCCACAAGCTGGCAGTCAACAAGGGATCGCGTGATGCGAACTGTGTTTGAAGGATGGTGCTCAACAAGTGCAAGTTAATCAAACAGCCGATTGGCCATTGGTGGTCGAATGATTACGGTGTTCGAATGGAGGTCGAGCGGCAGAAGCTCTCTGGAGATTTGAGACATGCTGGTGTCAAGTCCAAATAAGGGTGAAGCGGCTACACAGTTCTTCAGCACAGGAGAGGGAAATCCAAAAGGAGGTATGAAATCTTCTCTGCAATTTTGCTTCAGTCTCTGAACATATTGCTCTGTGTATGTCAAATGGGCGGTTGTACTGGGATATATCAGGATCTAATCAAGGTGTTGAAATGTAATCAGTACGTGTGGTGACGCAATCGCGTAGCGGTTAGTTCATTGTCTCTCAGTACGCCATTAATAAAACCTTCAAGTATATTAGAAAAACTGTAACCTCCGTTCTAGATCGCGGGAGCACCTGGCACGTGATAGAGGCCTAGAAATGGTTATCTACGCAGGCGCAGGAAGTATGGACACGCGAAGGTTCCCACTGACGCAAAACAAACGAGTCACTCGGGAGAGTTTCAATCTCCTCGGTACAGCTTTGACTATGTAGAGTTGCGCAACACGCGGATGCCCATGCCACAGTAAAATCAGCCTTGTGAGTAATCAGCGTGCTCACCGGTCTGCCCATCAAACGTGCATAAGTGGAACCGAGGTAAGCTTGTTCCATTTTCTAATCAGTGTCATCCTAAGAACGACAATACCGTTAACCGTTCCGTTGATGAAATACGGCCGGGTTAACGCTTGTCCGGTGAGCTATGGGCGGGGGTGCTGAGTTGGGCCAAAACTTAAAGGAGCCGACGATATCTCCTGATAAACGAGTCATTGTTGCCGGTGTTACTTAGCGCGCCATCATGCTTAGGCCCCTACATGTTCATAAGCCGATCCTATTCCCTCGGACATGAATTGAGGCCAAGATTTCGTATGCAACCGCACATTCGGCTCTGCGAAAACTATCCCCCGTCCTCAACTATGTGAAGTCAGCAAGTGGTTTGACTACTGCTGACCTGCAGGTATGATTTGGATAGGAACTAATCAGTATCTAGACCCAAAATAAATCGCATATTCGCTTGCTAGCAGTCATTTTTGACGGTTGGAGTGAGTCGGCAGTAATCAAGCGACGCTGTAACATCAGAATATAAAAGAGCGAACGTACCTTGGTACATTAATTTGATGGAACATTTGGAACACCCTGTCCGTGATGTGGAGAAGTAGAACGAGGAATCCGATCTGTATTAGGTGACCGAATCGGTGAAACGTTGGGGGCAAGTTGAAAAACACTGTAGTTTCCCGTGATTTTCGGTCAGAGATCTCATTGGCACGAAGCAAAAGCATGAGCAAATCGTTGGCTCCACCGAGAATCCAGTTGGACAAATATTCATCAGTCTCAGTTTGTCTTTCTTCTTCGGTGATACGTGAGGGGTCCTTGGATCGTGAAGCCGTCCAGCGTGATAAGGATTCAGGGAAGTTGTAACTACCATGGTCCCGGGGGAACCATGGAACAAGTCCGGTCTGTTTTCGTCCATCCTGTTTGCTTGTTTCATCTGTTAAGAAAGGTTGACGACACATATCATCAGCGGGACGGGCGCTATATGGAGCTCTGTAGTAGCCGATCATGGTTTCTGGTGATGAGTCCGGTAAAGCGCGGTCCGCGGACGGTTGAGGAAGTTCGCTCGACAGAGGTGGGACCACGGACAGTTTGGGTAGGTCAATGTAAGTCGGTGACGGCCAGTCAAAGGTGTCTTCCAACTGGGGGGAGGGGATGAAGTTTTGAACGACAGATGCGAGGTTATCAGCAGAATGGTTATATTTCTGGGTAGTTCGATGACAGGGTTGGATAGACTTAGGGGAGAACCTGGAAATTTACGTGGATGTGGTCTGTGATGAAATACAATTTGTGGTAAGTAGACTCTATGAAAGGAAAGTCACAAACTGTGTTCAACGGTTGTGGATCAATGTTCGAAATACGTCGACAACCGAGAAGTGTAAACCATCACTGGTGTTCATCAGTGTTCACTAATTAGAATTACGCGCGACAGGTACTTTATTTAAGCATCAAGCTGCAGTCATGATGTGTGTCAAGCTATTGCACGTGCTCTACCCGCAACCAGAAAGAAACCTTTGAAATTAATCATGGCAAATCTAAGATGGAATCGCAGCAGTCTTGGTTCCTGTGACCATAGGCGTCACATGGAGATGTCAACCAATTCTAATGGGGTCAACAAATAGAAAAAGTGAAGTGCAGCTAACACTGGATCAATTTTGTCGTTTTTGTGAACGATGGGCTGTGATTTTTGATAGGCTGAAAGAAATAGACATGTGGTCAAGGCTTATCGATGAATCAGGAGTAGTTTCCGGTTATGATTGACAAAAACCAAATGCACTTTTTGCAGGCCTGCAACATGGTATCAAACTGACTTCCGACTAGGGCAACTGTGTTGCTATAAGAAACAAACGATCGATGCTGGTATTACGACAATGTAACCATACACCGGTTTTATTCCCAACGGACTCCCCATTCTGTTCATTTCAAGTGTCCCATTAGTTATGATTGCTCACCGAGCTATAGCCGGTTGGTATCAATCCAGAACGTGTCAACCGTCAGATATGCTTTCTTTACAGAATGACCGAACCGGGGGCTTATTGCGACCCCGTTCCACATTGTGACACAAAAAACAGCCATCAAATTTTATTGGCTTTCTCTCCTATCAGTACGCTGATCATGGAACCACCAGGTACTTTTGTGTTTTATTACTCCCGTTAGTCACCTTTCATTTGCAGCACATTTGCGATCGTGGAACCCCAACGACCCGTATGAGAGGTATGCTTTTAGTTTAGTTTGGTTACAAATACTGGTACGCCACTGTAAAGCCTAGGCTTGTCTTTGTTTTGATTCGATTCGAAAAGCAAATCAGTGCCGGTCGGATTGCCGGATCACCACTTTGTGGTGATTTCCTTGCGTGTCAAACGCTGAATCTGACGTTGTTACCAAAATCCAGCGCGCTCGTACGGCTCCAAATCCAAAGTCACAATATGGCCAAGTTGACTAACTATGGGACGACTCACCCACGACTTGTTGCCTATGATCCATTTTTGTCACGAATACTGAGAAAATCCGTGACAATGAAGTCACAAATATTACGGGACTCTAGAACTGGAGATAAGTCTCGTCTGCTGCCAGCTTATCACAATGCTACGAATAGAGGCATATGTAAACAAACATAAATATTGGATTCAAAATCAAAACGTAAGAAAGCGCTACACAATCACTACCAGGGTAAATCGATCGAGATCCGATTGGTCGAAAGTCTGAACCCAACAGCCAATCATGACCCAGTATTGGCCGAATGCCGGTTGCCAATGGCGCATCCGGAACGCGTCAGTCTCCAGAAAGTTATTACTGCCTATGCTATATATATGAAGCGTTGTACAAATGTTTCTGACTTCGTTTTGGGCGTTAATATACCTTGTGCACTTTTGGTGGTTGATTTGAAGTGAACGCTAGCTTGGGAGGCTCATACCGAGGGCTAAGCTGAGAAAAATACCGTTACTACACTTTGACGCACAGAGTTTCTCATACTAGGTTGGTTGAACACAATCACCTGGTACTCCATGTTGGGGTTGGTACAGACACAGCGACTTGTTCCTTAAAAAAAACCTATACTACTGTAATATTATGTCCTATCCGCCTGGCGGTCAAGCACTTGATTCGTCCGACTAGTAGTTGGAAGCGCCTTGTCAACAAGACCATCAAAGGTCGCAATGGATCTATTATATTCATTGGAAGGATACTGTTTGGACCATTGGGCACAATATTTCGAGCACTTCGTTGGCTACGTGTTACCTCCAATCCGGACTGTCAGCCTTTAACAGAAACATGGACTGCGAATATGGAACCCCCTTCGATCTCAGGGGAATCCCAGTAGAAATTTCTACCTAAGCGTCATCGTGCTCCGATGAGCGTCTACCTGTTCTGCTCCAACACGACTGGAAGTTTCTCAGCAAGTACCTGTCTAGCCTATTTACGACTATCTGTGAGAAAGAGACCGACCAGACAGCTAGGTCAATCTGTCGCATGCGAGACGTTGACCAGTGTTAATTAGGCCGTATTTCGACTGGCTTCAATCAGTATGAACCACATGTTCACACTCTCAACCTATAAGATACATAGTTGAAAAAATCAATCATTAGGCGAAATGTGGGTGATCCAGGGAAGACTTCATTACGCGTTTCGTCCTGATTGGAACTCATGTAGAAGTAGCGAGAGCTAGTTTTTCTTGACATGTCGAAAGCCTTTGATCGTGTCTGGTGTGCGGATCCCCCTGCATCCCAACCGAAGTAAACTGACTGGAGGTTTCTCCACAGCGTCGCCTTCCGGACCTAAACCATCAGTAATGCGGTTTCTTCAGATCCTGTACAACTACTATTATTTCTTACCTTCATGCCAACGGTCTTTCGTCGCCTGGTTTCCCGATTGTCAAACGACACCATTCCGTATCATTCTCCTTTATACCGTCCTCGAATCAACAATTATACAATGATTGTGCATTACGCATTAAAGTACTGAACACAATCGAATGGAGGCTTGTGGACTGTAAAGTTCAACACTCATGTATCTCCACTCTGTCTTCAACTTCCTAACAAACCAAGTATCATTTCCCATTCTCCCTCGTTCACCCTTGGACTAAGATCTACCAGGTCCTTTCATCGCCCACTAATGTCGCATTCTTTGTGATATTAGGAAGGTTGAATTCCACTTCGAACATTTTGGACCCGCTCCACCTTTTTTTCTAGAACATTGACGCCATATTCGAGATGGGGGTCATTTCTTTTAGACTGCTCTATTGAACTTATTGAGCTTATTCAGCTCACTCCCAAAACTCGACAAAAATTCGTCCGAGCTATCTTCTTCCGTCTCTCTCTCTCTACTTAAATCTTATAATCATGCAAACGGCCTATTCACTTCCATAACTGTAAATTTCCGATCCCCAAAAGCAAAACTAAACCTTGTGCTCCTTCCTTCCTCGGAACAAACCAAAACTGTGTTTCCGGGCACCTACCAACTTCCACCTTTTCAAGCGCCGAGCTCATTTGCACCACTTCAACTAACCAGGAAGTCCTCTTTCACTCATTTTATTATTTTACACAAAGACGCTTTCCTCTGACCTCACCGCCGTGTTAAAAGACTGAAAAGACAACGCATATACACAATCCATTTTTGAAGCATCGAATTTCTAGAGTCCCCACTTGAATAGAGGCTCCCCCTCTGAAGGGTCAACAGTGACGTTTCGCTGTCAACCTTGATTTCATGTGTACCATCCATTCAAAGAAGGACTACCATCCCACATACTAGGCCAAAAAACCCTAGTCCCTTTTATTCAATCAAGTTAAGTTTTTTGGTCGTATGCACGTCAATAAAAAACACAGAAGGAATCTAGACGAAAATCGAAAAATCAGGAACGAAATGCATGTTACAGTGTTTGGGAAGAAAAACACAAACATGAGAAGTGAGAAGTAGCGAGTGAGCATGATAACTCTGTTGAATGTACCGATCTGTATAGGTTTCAAACCTGCGTCCTCAGTCGAAAGTCCATCCTAGCGGACCGCGTGTCCTGATATTTGGTGCTTCGTTACCAGCCCAGTGTTGTCAAACGTATGAGCGAAGGCAAATGTGGATCGAGAATTCCAAAACAGCTGACACTGACATGGTTGTAGCCTTCCCTCGAGCAAGCTCCATACAAATACACCATCTAGCTTGAGATGGTTTAGTAGTTAAAGCGCGAATTTACTGACCGGAGGGTCCGTGGTTTAGACTCAACATATGCATCCTGACTGCTCCTGTCTTAGCTTGGGCAAACTGACAGTATCTCAGCCCTCATGCAGCTGGTCACCGAATGAGTGTTACAGCTGAATGATCATTGTTATTGTAAAATACCCTATCGAAATTACTCGTCACCTGCTGTGACCTACAGAGCGTAATCCCCCCGTCATCGACAACAGGGATATCAGGTTCATCGATGACCACACAGAGTACATGATTCCAGAAGCAAGTGGAAACAACTCAAGCCTCAGCTAGTGCACCCAATAACAAAATCCACCCTGGTCTAATCAACAGTGTTCAACGTGTTTGAAACATTAAGCCCAGTGTCCGTAATTTCACCAGCTGGAATTGAGCTGGACCGTAAGATTGGTTATTCAGAGTGGGTTAGAATGAAATGAAGTAAAACGCGCCGTTTCAAGACAAACTACTGAAAGTACGTAGCAGGCTTAGTCACAGTATTAAAGAACGGTTGATCGCTCGGGACAAAGAGGTCAGTATCATACTCACCTGAACGTACAGTTGTCCATTCAGAGTCCCCAGATAAACAAGTCTGTCCCGAGAAGGGCATTCCAAAGTGGGTTTTGTCGTTTGTGACTTTCTTGCATAGTGTTTGCTCAGCGTTGTTCTGCGACTCGCTGGTGTCGGGAGAACCTGCAGATTTAACCGGCCAATACTGAGCTGTTCTGCGAGCGAGTCCGCCAAAATATCCCCTAGTGTGGAGTTAATGTGGTGTGAAGAGGATCAGCTTTGTCAGGATGGGTAAAAATCAAACGAATTTGGGCAAAAAAGAACAGCATTCGGTTGTGCGGGTCGGCTGCACTTTGAGATGAACAGTTGCACACCAGTGTACCAGGAACCAGCTAGATATCAAGTCCAAGTCCTAGGTCGGGATATTTGAACTAATCGTTAGATGGAGTAAACGTTGCAGGTAGCATGCACTGGAAATAGTTAGCAACTGAGTGATAGAATTGAGTCTCAAAATATACATCTCTGAATTAGTACATGCAACAGTCACAGTGCCATAGCCAGGATTTTTATGCTGCGTTAACCGATCTTGTGATTGTCTGCCAATCCCACAGCCCACAACTTTTATTCAAATATGTTCTGCCTCCGGCCTACCAGCATCTGCGGTACACTAGAGAGAACGATAAAGTTGGATAGGGACTGCTGTTAATCCTTTTTGGAAACTTATACAATCAGTTGCTAAATGTGCAAATGGGAGTCTTAGTACGTAAGGTTCCTCGAATAAGCAACAGCGACGCATCCAAACTCGCCATTTATGAGGTTTTCAATAATAACCGTTGGTTCTGCTGTTTCATTGGAATACAGTTTCACGAAAAACGGCCTTCTGCGGCTGCTGTCCAAATATCGCTAGTTGATATAAAAGTTTCGCATTCATAATGGCCTATTTAACAGAATTGTTAAACATCACATCTAGTGTCTGGAGGATGGATAGGCAAGCCTTGGCTAGTTGGAACAAGCACTTCAAACGAAGTTGAGGGTTCCGCTTGCACAGTAAATACATCCACATGACGCAGCGGAATACATCCGGAATTTCATAACCCTGGAGCTTGCCGGTCATTCCAAGCGGCGACAGCTAATCGGCCCTTGAAGATGCTTCTTTAGAGGGTGGGTAGTGTTGCACTGAGAAGGATATGCATACGAGCAACGTGCAAATGGGCGCCAGAACCTGAACGACAGACAATCTCTGGACGATATCTAAAACGGGCGAATGAAGATCACCATGCCCAACGATCATATTGAGCTACCACATTCAAGACAATCTATTTCAATATTCCTCGGACGAAACCAGACCAAGCCAAATGAACTGCTTACGATTAGGACGACATGTGAAAGTTGGCGAAGCCAAGTAGCTAACTGGTATCTGATTGTTTGGGACTTGTGTCAATCATACAGCGAAGATGTGCAGCATTGACATTGAGTTTAATCTCCCAAAGGCAACCATTGACGGGCCGGTCACAAGCGTTTGCTGCTGAGAGGTAGACGCTACAGTACACTCGCCACCTCATCAACTACCAACATTCCCACCCAACAATGTCACCTTGTTGTTGTACTTGCGCACATGCAGCAAATGACCTAAAATCTGTACACGGACTAAAAACACTCTGCCGCCCGCATGAACCCTGTCGGAAGGCTAGTAGTGAGCTGACAAAGAGCGGCGGGCACTCGTGGCGAATAGTCATATAATGAGGCTGTTTGGAGGTCAGCTGCGGCAGTACAACTCCAGTCGACTAACGCTTCTACTAGTGCCACGTTTCGCTTTGGCTGTACCGAATGTTTGGCCTAGATCGGTCTGCAAACCTGGCACCGAATGGTAGCACGAACATGTACCTCTGTCTGAACAGACCTGTTTTGTTTTGACACAACCCAACAGCAACACCGGATGACTTAAAAATACAGATCAAGTGTGTATGCTGAGAGGGGATTCAAGGTTGCCGTCAATCCACAAGACATCGTCTCACAGTCCATCGTGAATATGACAGCCATAGGCAGAAAACACAAAATAAGCCACGAAACCAGTCATATTATGTTGCAGCTCAAAATATGCTCAGAAGAGCCGCTGATGGAATTGGAGGAGAGATCTTCCCGTATTACAAGCTCTTTTTATCGGTCTGCAAACATGTACTGATAGTTCATGGTAATGCAAACCATAAAACATCTACAGACTCTACAAAAACGACCCCATGAATTACGTTTATATTTCAGACGCAGTGCATTTATTTTGGGTTCATCGGAATAATCCGCCGCAGTGCTCTTCTGTGGAAAGTTCTGAAGAGAGCTATGAAAGTACAGAGGCGGATGAAGTAACTTCCAAGAACGTTTCATTCAGAAAAGTTTCGTAATGTGCTGTGATGAGGAAAAGTAAACATTTGCTTGGGCTTACTGACGATATGCCTCTAGTCTTAAGTGAGAAAAAATGAGGGGAGCAAAAAGTGTATAGGAACGACGGCGTCTTTCTTTCATGTGTAGAAAGGTAGGCGTATGGCGATAAAAGTTCACGGAAATTTTGTGGGCCTAGTTTTAATTAGTGCTGACTAACCAAAGACGAGTAAACTAATTATGTACCGTTCTCCAGCGAACAAGATATTAGAATGGTGTGCATTAGTGGCAAGCGAAGCGTGTGCTATTAACGTAAGTCCCCCTTGTTCCTCACAAGTAGAGTAATCTACTGTGGCTGTCCGTCAAACTTCTAAAGCCGTGCGCACCCGCTTTCTGTACTTATATTTGTTACCGCGTGTGGATGACCATCCCTGAAACAGAAAATGTGGAAATTATATCAGTGATTTGTGCACAAGTGTGACTACGGAGCTCACTGAGTGAAACACGTCCCCACCACCATTTTGTCGGTACAAGCCTCACAGTGGTCCAATTTTCCCCCGTTTTGTTCACTAATGAATAAAGGGCTGGTGCGAAACAACTGTGCTCAAAACACTACAAGGTTTGTCCCCTCACCAGCTCATGCGCATCAAATTATCGATTGGTGTATTGTGTACTACCCCAGTCACTCACAGAAAAGCCAGCCTTGAGGGCTCTCATAATGGGCTTTTCATTGCGACAAAGGCTTAAGGTTTAACGTCCGTTTTACTCTGCGAACCATTAGCCCACTCAATACAAGCACTCACCAGGTAACGCGTTTAAAATTTATGATATAGAAATTCCTATTGGAGTTTGCAACTAAGGCTACTGTGTCTTCATCTTCAGCATAGCACTTAATAAGTAACTGAGTGGTAACCAATGCTTATTCCTACGGTTCAGTCAAACGGCATATTAACATGCACGTCACACTCATGTTAAGGATAGGCTAAGCTATGACCTTCTTTAGTTAGTTAAGCGGAAGAAACATGTCTGTGTGCCTGAGAAAACCTTGTGTGGCACCTACGCCATAGACAGACCAGCATGGACCTGAAGCTTTTGGATAAAAGCTCTGCATTTTACTGGAGAATGTCCAGAGACCAGTCAAGTTGTCAGGTGGACATGACGTAGTAAGAAATTCGCAGGCGGGAAAGAGGATTTCGGTTAGCAGCATGTTACTATCACACACAAGATATAAAGGAAGTCATATATACGGTGACATGCGGAGATAGCTGTGTCTGATTGTTACAGTGGGTAGTGAAAACTTCTATTACCTCTACTTACAAAAATGTGACTTCAAAGCATCAACTAGAAGAACTGCCGTTCTCATCCTCTCATCTTTCTCCACAACCATTCCGAATTGCCTAAACCTTTAGACGTCCATTAAGGCAACCGGGATAGTTTGTTTCTGGTCGTTTTCTCCGGTATCCAGGGCCATCTTAAACTAAGTCCTTATTTCCCTAAACCTTTATTTATACTTCTTGCCAGGGTGTTCTACGTCATGGTTTTTGCCTTCACATCACTCTTGTTTGAACAATCCTCCGTCTACCTGGTGCATTTATCCTGGTAACTCCACACCAAACAGAAGCACTGTGTGAGAATCTTGTTCTCATCAGAGCTAATCAACAGTGCACATCTTTAGCCACGCCGGGATATGAACCCCAAAAGTCCAAAAGGCGAGGATGGTGTTACAAGTGATCCACTGGCACACGAAAGAACTACCCGAGTCATCACGTTCAGACGAAGTGACCGTCTTGCCTCAAGACTTGAACGACGATCTAGTTACTGTTCTAGGTGTGTCAACGGAATGACCCAACTATCAGATAGCGTAAAGGACGCTGGAAACATGCTGGTGGTTGCACGGCACCAGTATTCAGTATTGTATTGTTGATGATGATAGTAATGACTTGCACATAGACGCTTGAGCTTCCGACTGAAGAACTGACTTTCGTTTTCATCTACTTTGTGGTGATGGAGCGTGGTGGTGGTAGCACCCGTTTATGAGAAATACGGGTAAATTACTCGATATAATTGTTGTCGGGGAAACTGCTGGATGATATTTATCAAACGTTGAGGCGGTCAGACTGTCCAGTTAGGATTGCTCACGGGTATCCCGTTTAAAGAATTTCTATACAGCAACAGATGACAGAACCAGTTGAAAGAGTGGATCCTGAAGCGAGTTTTGTAACTGAGCGCTTTCTCGTGAATCTTTAATATGGTGCATTGAAAGACATGCTACCATCCTATAAATTGAAGTAAGAAACACCATAATTGATGAAATGAGTATCAATCTACTCTAGCTATGAAGACAAGAATTTCAGTTTCTCTTATGAGCTTCATCACATGGATCTGAGGGGCATGACAATAAACGGTAAGTATACAAGGTCGGTCACTGTAGATTTCCATACCGGTTACCTATATGGGGGAGTGGTAACCAATCATCGCTATTCAACATTATGGTTGGCGTAAAACGGACGGGAACTTCTCGAAATAGCATCACAATACTTAGATTATCTGACCTACTTTCAGCTATACAAGCTATTTACTCTTGTTTATGCATTCCAACGTGCTTCTACCCTGCATATGACGATCGGGCCTATGGGTGCCTAAACGTAAAGATTGCACCTAATGTATCAAGCGAATCATCGGCAACAACATCTTAAAGGGAGGCTTTCATTTACGACAAACCAAATCAGGCCAGAAATGGAGGGGATAAACTTAAGGTAACTTACTGGAGAACAAACGAATTTGATCAAGTCTCTTGGTATGTGCGTTGTATAACCATGATTTCGCAATGCGTGTTGGAAGGGTATAATGCCAGTGGCTGTCGGGAAGATGAGACTTTGTTTGTCCAATTATCATCAGTTTGTCTAGATCGAACTGAATATGCATATCTTCAAGAACACCGGCCGCTGAAGAATGGCCATCAACCGGGATGTCCAAACTAGGGACGTCTTTCAGCTTTTGAGAAAACCCAAAGAAACAAAAGCGGAAGACGATAAAATGCCTATACCGGAAAAAAGGATGCGGGTGACAAGCACATAGCTCCGACAAATTCATGGGAGTATTTTAAGTTATTCAGAGGTGAATTGGAGAGAATGTCACTCAATTCTCTGAGTCTAAACTGTCCATGGATAATTCTACTAGGCGCTGGAAATGCTGAGCGGAAGTCAAAGTTATGCCTCCAATCAATAGCACTTGGCTGGCCACCGAAATACGTAGAAGCCACTGGAAACCGACACATCCGGGTATCACAAAGCTGTGATATTGGTGAAATCGTCTCGCGTTTTTGTGGGATATGACGACAACGACGATAATCCACTAAACTCAGCGTATAAATAGTATACAACCCGTAGCAAGCACACCACTATGTCTCTAGACCTAGAAGAAAGCAACTGAGAAGGTTCTTGTTTATAACGTCTTCTTACCAGTTCATTTGGTCGAAAAGCCGTTTTCAAAAATAGGATTGTGTCGTACGGACACTAGACCGACCACTTTCGTGTGGAACGGAGCGTGGGAGCGACAGACGGAAGCGCACCCTAGGAAGACAGTACGCAAATGTAGAAAAAACGCAAGACGGTTTGGTATTTTTCACAAAACGATGGACACAAATTCCACATATTATGAACAGTAATGATCTCTCCCAGTCGCGGAATAGTGCACGTTCACCAGAACTGAGTCGCACCAATTCTGGAATAATGATTAATTATGCTTCAGGAATGTCATGCAGTCCACTCCTCACCTGATTTCTGTTACCGATGGAGAACTAGTGTCCGCGTTCGATTCAGGCTAGGGGGGTTCCTTTAGGGTCTGTGTGGGTGGGGATTAGCTGAACTGCCTTCATCGTTTAAGACGAAGTTTATATGAATAAAGGTCCCATCCGCTTTGTATATTGTTTTGTTAAAATCCACCCTCTCGCACCAACTAGTCGGATTAGTTGGGGCAGACAGGCTGTTCCCCATGCAAAGGCTTTTCCCATTACCCAGATCTTCGTTATCCACCAGCGCCGCCATCATTATCATAGTCATTTGCTGATGGTAGTTTTCCCGATATCAATGACAGTTGTCGATCGTGACGATATTCGGCCCTATGATGTACATGCACCGCAGGATACAGGATTTTAAAGCTCTGGGCACGCATTGTAAGTTTTCTGCAACCGTCCTCCAATTCCCTAATATTATCTGTGCCTACTTACTTCTAGAGCTTTGCAGCCAACCCAGCTCGGTAGTGTTGGGACACGGGGACGCTTTGAAGGCGACAGACCCTTAATACGGATACCCACACAGTGCTACGATCAGAGTCGAACTGTATGATCCAATTGGAATGAGTCTTGAATTTAATCCCTCACGGGTGGCTAGTTGCCAAAAATTCAAAATAAGCGCACAGGTGGTGTGCGGTAGACGGCCGTTAAGCCACACAATGTATGTGCTTGTACTGACAGTTCGCACTAAAAATCGCTTAGCTGCAGTAAATAACTGTCGTGCAATTCGGAGGAAGCACCTGGGCTGGGCAGGCTACCTGGCTACTAGCAGATTACCCAAGCACGGATAGAAGCAATCGAAAATCCAACTTTGAACCCCGGACCTACTGTTTAGGAATACCGCACCTTGACCACTGAGCTATCTCAAACTTGTATTCTGCCATGTACTGGCAAGAAACAAACGTCTACAACACAAATGAAGGGAGGTTCCAGTTGTCCTGGTGATAAGCAACAGTTACGAATCGAGTGTCACGGCGGGTTTCTTCTGGGCTTAGTGGGCCGATCTGAGCATTCATACCACTCATCAAGACCAAGGTGTTTGTACATGTTACTGAGCGAAGCGACTGTGATAATTCTCGATAGAAACTGTTTTTCCCAACACCAAACCTACCATCCGCGGGAGCGCCTGCTGATACAACAAATAAACTCCTTGTCAACAGTTTGCTCTTTGTGAGAGAAAAAGCCTACTATCGGCGTGCTTCCCTGGAACAACCTGTTACATATGGCGGTTCATTCCCTCTTTGAAAAACACAGGCCACCGTATGATTGACAGTGAAACACCAGTGTTCTCATGTCAATGATGATGACTCCATCGATACGTTTAGGATTCTTGCTGGTTGGCAGACGGCGTTAACTTACAAAGGGTTTCGAGGAACGAGCGAGGAAATAAGAAAAGATTATATCACCAACTTAATACATCGGTGACTACTTCCGTTTGTTAGGTACACAAAGACGACACTATGTACAGAGCATTCCGTTCACGCAAATTATCCATCAAAGACCACGGGACCAGCCACTCAAGTTTTGTTCATTCAGTTTAGTCACCGTGCAATGGAAACAACGAACTGATCCTATGTTGAGAGTCATGTGAAGCTACACAACAGAGGCCACTACTGTGTCATTGGATCGTGCCTAACAGTTCTAACAGCATCGACTTCTCGTGTCCCTGAGGGCGTCTATCCAGGGAGAGTGTGTATCAACGCGATCACTTACGGCCCAAAGACCCTGTGGGGGTGTCAGAGGCTAGTAGGATATTGTGACCCTCCGGATTCCAGGTGATTTGGTTCTTGCGGGCCTATATAGGAATCTATAACTATCCGGATAGATGAACTTGACTATCGCACCGATTATTTTTTAGCAGCGCCTGATGATGCCATGATACTGTATGACAAACCGTGCTATCGAATGCTGTTTCAGCAAAGTTTTTGTTCATGATATCCGTGAGTGGGGCGTATATCTTACCAAAAAGCAGAAAGAATATTGAAAAATGACCCGCCATTCGGATATATACTCAAATCTACACAAAGAGTAATATAAAGAGGTGGTAACGCTACGCTTATTTCACAAGATGGTATTCTCATGCTCTACAGTCTTTTGAAAATGACTGTGAAGACCTGCGGAAACCATTTGTACTTTTCAGCTATCTTAAGCAACCGGTGCATAGCATCGAGATAGAATCAACCCGGGGCAACGGTGCACTGAATATCACTCAGTCTTAAAGGTATTTTGTCTAATCATCCGGTGCAGGGAGAACATGTGGAGAATATTTGGCCGTGGTGACCCATGGTGATAGTGCACAATGTTCTGATTATATCCGACGACCGCCGACCTGATTGCGAACAACGTCCTCTTCAAAGCTATATTTGAAAACGATTCGTCGTAGAAGGCCAGTGGTTTGCGAAATTACTGTTGAGAGCCAGATTCATTCGCAACGGAGAGTTTGTGTAGCCAGCACGACAGATGTGTCTGCAGAGGCGTTTCCGTAACAATGAATTGTTATTTATCCCGTACGACTTAACTGCAACGAGATGACTTACCTCGGTCTCTGATCGTACCGTGCCACACGTTTGTGAATTACGACGGACACTTGTGGTGGAAGTAGATAGGTGGCCATGAAAGGCACATAATTCATTATTTTGAATGCTTAAATTCCATTTTTCGGAACCCGTTGGGACATGAACTGCACGAACAATGTGGGTCATCCGATAAACTAGAATGCCGGGATCACCAGAACCGCCAGAGTTCGAAGATGTCCCTGAACAACCATCACGAGAGCAGTTGTATTTTACCTGACAGAGGGGTTGTGAAGTGATAGCGAAGTTGAGAAGTAAAGGTAAAAATCGAAAACCCGAATATAATTGTGGATACATTCGGAGAAAATAGGGTTACTTGCAAAATGGAGCAGGAGACACAAGAAATTTGTGAAAGTCGTTCTAGACGGGGATACAGATTTCTATATTGCCCCAGGGGAAATGAAGACAGAATATGAGGAATTCCATGGTTTTTCTGTATATGAATGCATAGTGCACGTTGTATGAATATACCCAAGTGAAGGGAACAATGAGGTTGCTTTCCAAAATGCTGATAGTGAAGCTGACAGCTAGACATTGCCCATATATGACTTGTCGGTAACGAAAATACACCCTACTGCGCTCAGAAAACAGTGTAACACATCAGCTTACAAGTTCAGGGTCTGAAACCAGACAGGTGATTAGATCTTCGCAAAGAAATCCCTCCATCCGTGACATTAATTATCCAGAGAGAGCTGTAAGAGTAAGGTATTCGACATTTGGCATTATCACCACACAGCAGCAGAACGATCACCAGTGACACCACGATGATCACCAGTCACCAAGAGTACCACTGATTAGCAATGACATTCCCGCAACCACCATTCATTAGCAACACGGTTATCGTCACCGCTGTCATTAACATTATTCACCCATTATATGAACAGGAAGAATGTCCACATATGGTGTGATACTCCAAGAAAGTCTTATGTTGCCAAAGACAACTATCAAGCACGATAGTGATGAAAAACACTTGCTCTGACCATCTAAGAAGAAAGCAGTACCAGCAGAACATCTTGTTTTAGGCGATATCAACACAAGATGCGTAGCCAACCCCTCGGACGCATCTCACTCTAATAAGACTATTAGGTACTAAAGTGGTTTTTCAAACTGTAATCATACTGGTGCTGGATGTGTCCCTTCAGGTATATGCAGCCTTTTACAAGGACCAATACCAGCCCTTTTCAGTCCAATTGTTGCTAGAACCACCTTCCTCCATAGTTGCACAGCAGTTGGGTCCCAATTTCTATAAGTGATTCGTTGAAAAGGATACTGTACAATACTCTATTGAAAGCCCCGGGCTCATGAAAGTTTAGTAGTTCAGGTGCCGACCTACTGACTTGAGAATTCGTGGTTCAAACTCAACCTTGGCACCTCGACTACTCCTGTCTAGGCTTAGGCAACCTGGCAGCCGTCGTGTTCCTTATCAAACACGTAAAACACTGGACGCCGAGAGGGTGTTACGCCTGAACGGCTGACTTATTCTCAAAAGACTACACTGGAGAAAAAACATTCGCGATGGGCAAAAACAAAAAACTCGACACGATACCTGTTGATCACCTGACGCTTTTCAAGGTCACCAGTAAAGTCGCCAACAGTGGTATCGAGCACGCCTTGTCTACTACTGGTTGCAGATTACCATAAAAAACAAACTCCACAAGTCTTGTCCTGACTCGCATAGGCTGTCATGGTTGCGAGGTTCACCAGCCTGTCGATTTACGCGACGCCCTATCGCGACACTCTATTCGAGGCTTTGTTTACGTTGATGCACTATCTTGTCGTTGCACGAGATTTAAACTTTAGGATGCTATCCACCAACCCGATCTCCTTCCAATTTTTTCAATATCGGGCAGGAATCGCTCATCAGCACCCGACCATGCACAACCCTTTAGGATAGGGCATTGCCGAGATTTCGCCATTTTACTTGGCTGCCCGAACAAAGCGCAGCATAACATCTCACGGTGAGTTTCCAGTCAGGCACAACAATCGTCAACCACGGACACTGCGGTTAGTAAGTTTCAGCAATAACCACTGAACTACCTCGAATTACCGCTGCCAATCCTATCGCTGACATAGGGCTTTGAAGCACTGTAGCTCGAAATCGCCACCATTATTCAGAGTGCCCCGGATGTTCACAAATAAAAACTACTGCGCTATAAACGTTCCGTAGTTTGCACTCCCAGAAGGCTGCGTAAAACGCCGGCACGTCAGTAACACCATATATATGGCTATCTGAAAATCCCGAACGAATACGTTTGTTTTACTTTTATCTCTATTTTTGACACTCTGTAAGAGCTACTCTGAAGTTAACCCTGCCTTCGAAAGTCAGATCATTGACAAACCGATTAGCCTCACCTCTGAGTCTTTGTCCGAGTTAGCGTCTCTTCCGACAATCTGAGGATACTAGACTGTGTGGAACCTCATCGCATCCGCGTCAAAGGCGACAAACAGCTTTGACGCGCAAGATCGAAGAAGATTTTCCACCGAGGTATGAACATGCTGCTCAAACGTCGAAGTAAATTTATAGTGCTCTTTTCCGTTTGGTGACGATGCCGGTATATTAGAAACTGTTGAGTGCTGTCCTCGTGGTATCCTATTGTCTGTGCGCAACACGGTATGGAGGTGAAATAACCGAAATATATCCGTGAAGTGGTAAGATGAAACAGATGAAACCCATCCTCGGTATGGGTGTCCCCTGTTTCGTCTTCGTTGTGCTTCTTGACTTACCTAAGTGGGTAGTGGAGCTTATCCTGTTCTTGGTTTCCCTCAACGTGATTGACTCTCGCCAATGGCTACTCGATCCGTATGTGACAACGGATATTCAATATCATCCACGAACTCGCGGCCGGTCTTTTTATTCACGTTTTCTCTAGGGCTTTCTGCCGTGACTGACCTAGTTGGTTCACGCATGTACCTTCCCTATATGTATTTTGATCCAAATACATTACTCGATGTTTGTTCAAACCTATTTTTCCGGGTATGCTTCTTGAACCGCAGTAGACAAATTCAATACACCCAACGAAAAACAATACCGAAGGATGCACGCTGTCCGCACACAGCCAAAAAATCAGACAAGCAAAAACAATGCGAAAGCTGAAGTCACAAAATGGGAGGAAACGATCCACATATAGAAAGTTACATGGTTGTGAGAACGCCATGAACTTTGTCTCAAACAACCAATATGAACACATTGGAAACGAATGGAATAAATGCAGCTAAATACCTTTCCAGTTGAGGGATCGAACGCAAATAAGGAGCTATCCTTCCCTCCAGTTAAAACAGAGTCTTCCGTCAGCATGAAATTTGAAGCAAACAGGGAGTCTACGGTCAGTGGTAATGCTTTCAAAGATGCTGTGTGCTTGTCAGAGTGCGGACTGCGCTCCAAGAGATATAACTGCCCATCCAGGGAGGGCACAAGGCTGTAATCGTGTGCATCTGTAACCAACTGAGCAAAATGAAGTGATACTCATTTCTTACCCGTAGCTCACTAAGGCTTTGCGAGATTAGAGGATTTCCTGTAATCCTCCAAATCTCTTTCCCACTGTATATGTCAATGCCAATGAACGAGCCATCAACAGTATTGACTACTAGGATTCTGGTCTTTGTAAGATCAGCTGAGGCGAAACCTACGTGCTCGGCGCTGAATTCGCCTGACAATGAACATGACTTTGAGCCAGAATGAGGGAGACAATACAGAGGAGTGACAACGACGGCATCCCAAAAACAAAAACAACTCCTAAGGCACGTAAGAAGGCACATAAGGAGGCGGCAAGCCGTTACAACACGCCATCCAGAAGTTCGGCTGATTCACCTCTACGGCGAGGCATATGATTGGTCGAACGTAATATGACCTAAGCCTTCCGGCAGCCCTAATGAAATGCAGTTGCTATTTGCGGGCGCTCAATATTCGCACTATGGAATTAAATTTTCGAAAGCTATGACGTGTCCCTGATGGAGTAAAGCAATCGGACACTTGAGTTGAGGGTACTAGTCCAAACTTATAAGTCTCAATTAGGCATCCTAGGGCCGCAACGATGCTTGGAAATTATGCCACAAGATTTTTCACGCTTGCTCCCAGTGAACAATGGGATTTGGTGAGCTGCAGAAATATGAGGGAAGATTAGAACGGTTTTCGATTTGAGAAAATATGCAACCAAATGCAACATTTTGCCGCGAGAAGTTTTACAACGCTCGTAAAAGGTTTGCAGCTGAGAGCTTTGTGCGGATAATGGGCACACTATTTGCGGTGAAATATCTACCGGCTGTTCGCGGAGTGTATCTGCTACCAAAAATACATGTACGATATGTGATACACACGTCCCTCCTGATAGCCTTTCTAATATGAAAGTAACACAACACGATATCGCAGCTGAACACTACGCCCGCTGTCCGCACTTGTGCCGCAAGTTTGTCCATCACAAGACTTCAAGCATACTGTTCGCCCTGATCAAGCTGAAAAGTTTACACATGTGAGCAAACTGTTCACGAATGCACGCATAACCGCAAGTTCTGTACCCATGCCTTCCGTGATCTGGAAGGTTTAGTATATGTGTCTGCTGGCCAGACATTGGTTGCTTGAGGAACTTTCGCGAAAAGCTTTTATGCGTGTGTTTCATTGACATTTGCTGAATCTTAAAGCTTCGGAATGGCATTATCTGCTACCACATGGAGATACCTATTTTGCTCAAGTGACCTTCGCCTGACTGCAGCGTCAGTTGGCCAGGATCGAAGTCACTCATCAGAGATGACCAATACTTCTGGGGGTAGTTGTTCGTTTTGATTTATAAACGCCAATCAGAATTCCACAGCCACAAACTGCGCACCCATACTTAAGCAGGGTCTTGTGTTTACCAAACCCCCCTTCGATTAGCCGTCAGTTTACCGAAAACTGATCGAAACTGATTGCACTTCCTTAACAAAAACGCACTGGGCAGCCGATGCTTCGCATACAGGTTTTGAATGGCAAATTACGCCCACCTCCTTCAAATTCCCCGAATTTGCGTATGCTTTGCTGCTTATCTATTGCATTCGTAGTACATCCGTTCGTCGCACTATACAGTGTTGGATTTTCAACTTTCAGATGCACGTACAAGTGCCATATGACTGCCCGTCATGTAATCCCTTAACGTATTCTTAAATCCCGTGATGGCTGAAATGCGGACAGCCCTCATTTTCTCAACAGGCACATCTTACGCCTGGGACCGCAACTTCTAAAGTCTTTCATTAATCAGCAAGATATGTCGAATAAAACAAAACGAAAAAATGAAATTTCATCGGTGTGTGAAAATATCCGACAATGTGCAGCAAGTACGTGCAATTTTCCATTTCACTGGAAAAGGCTTTTCGCAAGAGAGTATTTGCAGGTGTGGATCACCAGATAAAATGGAGGCGGGGAGAGAAAAATTTGGACTGAGAACAAATGGCAATTTTCATCGCAAAAAAATGGTCAACAATGAAATATACTATTTCCCTGATGTTGCTGTTGCAGGGAATTCATGTGTAAAGGATGTTTTCGATGGGGAGATAATTCGTAGAGCCATGCATATAATGCAAACAAAATTGTTGGACCCGTAGGAGGGTAAGCTAAACTTGCAGCACAAAACCGAATAGTTTACACCAAAACGAAAGGTTCTGCGGGTAAGAATGAACTGCATCTGAGGGCTGACGGAGCCGGGTGAACAATTTGTTCGTGTGTGCAATTGCAGCCCCAAATGTGCGAGCGGGTGAAGTCGAGATTTGAAGGCAAATAGTTGATAGTGGCAACAGCCTGGGTGTGACAGCATCGTGCCTGTTCCGTTGGCTGTTTGCCGATTGCTTGCTCGAAATGACTGAAGAATTTTAATGGACTGGCTCTCACCCCGACGGTGTAAAATACCTGATAATTGGAGTTTTTACTAATGCATAAACCGCGATTATGACAGTTTGGTTAGTTGTCATCCTGCAGATTTGATAGTGTGCACGAGAGTAGAAAACTGCGTGTGATGATCGGGTACGCTTTGCAGGGGTGTCGCCATGCTACGTTGCATCATGGTGTGCTCGTAAGCTCCTCACCACTCGAGTGCATCTCCCATCGCCGAGGGTCCTGAGCCAAGCCTTTAGTCCAGGATAACCGAAAAGGCACCGCTGTATTTTGTAGCTGAATTGGACTTGTTCTGGTTGCTAATTGCCTCGCTACACAAAGGAACAAAAGCGAATGACAGCCACCCTTTCGTTTTTTGACATATATACACATGGGGTGGCCTGTGTGAGGTTCGCGGCTAACCTCGGTGCGCAAAAAGTTGCCGTCTTCGTCTTAGTCGTGTCGCACCGCCCCAAGTCCACTTGATCACTCAAAAAGCACACACGCTCTTCCCCCTTGTATTCTAGAGCCATCATATGCACAAAATGCAAATAACTTACTATTTCCCGAATACCAGCAGTCACAGCTAGCGCTATGCACCCTTCGTTTTCTGGAATTGGCAGCAGTGACACAGCGACTGGTGATTTCTACTCTTACCCTCCTGATATGTTGACGTAGTGGATCTCAGTTAAAGCTAAGGTTCTTATCCACTATCTGGGAAGCTGTTGCCTGACCGCTTTTTTAATTGACTACGGTCACTGTGCACTGTCAACCCCTCATTTTCGAAACGGAGACCCTGGGTCATGATTCTTTATTAAGCCAAAACCTACCGCCCGTTGCAATTAGTCCGACAGCTAACCTCCCTGCTGACGACAAATTTTTTACCTTCACAAAACTGGACATATACTCTGGCCGAGCTTGTACTTGGTTTTTAGCTCAGCAAACAAACCAAATTTTCATGGACCATTTAGCCTGTCATCCCCTCTTACGTTTTTCCATTGACATCGTTGTATCCGATGCCTCCCGATACTCTTTCCTCCTATCCCCAACCTTCAAACATCGGCTATAATTGCCCAGACACCCCGTACAATTGTTAGTAATTCACTCTGGGTGATCACCGGTCTGCACTCCTTTGGTCCTCCAACAGAAGGGAAATTCTCTGACCACACTTTGGCCTGACTGTCTCTCCTCGTCTCGCTCAGACCCAGCTGCCGCGAAACCAAAATTTCAAGGTCAGGTGTTGTAGAAATTTTTTTGGATTTTAGCCCATCCGTAGGTCTTTAGCCATTTTTATGCTGGATAGCTATTTTTCGCTCTTCCCCCTTGTATTCTAGAGCCATCATATGCACAAAATGCAAATAACTTACTATTTCCCGAATACCAGCAGTCACAGCTAGCGCTATGCACCCTTCGTTTTCTGGAATTGGCAGCAGTGACACAGCGACTGGTGATTTCTACTCTTACCCTCCTGATATGTTGACGTAGTGGATCTCAGTTTAAGGTTAGGTTCTTATCCACTATCTGGGAAGCTGTTGCCTGACCGCTTTTTTAATTGACTACGGTCACTGTGCACTGTCAACCCCTCATTTTCGAAACGGAGACCCTGGGTCATGATTCTTTATTAAGCCAAAACCTACCGCCCGTTGCAATTAGTCCGACAGCTAACCTCCCTGCTGACGACAAATTTTTTACCTTCACAAAACTGGACATATACTCTGGCCGAGCTTGTACTTGGTTTTTAGCTCAGCAAACAAACCAAATTTTCATGGACCATTTAGCCTGTCATCCCCTCTTACGTTTTTCCATTGACATCGTTGTATCCGATGCCTCCCGATACTCTTTCCTCCTATCCCCAACCTTCAAACATCGGCTATAATTGCCCAGACACCCCGTACAATTGTTAGTAATTCACTCTGGGTGATCACCGGTCTGCACTCCTTTGGTCCTCCAACAGAAGGGAAATTCTCTGACCACACTTTGGCCTGACTGTCTCTCCTCGTCTCGCTCAGACCCAGCTGCCGCGAAACCAAAATTTCAAGGTCAGGTGTTGTAGAAATTTTTTTGGATTTTAGCCCATCCGTAGGTCTTTAGCCATTTTTATGCTGGATAGCTATTTTTCACGGTGGTGCCCCAACTAGATGCGATCACAAAGGCCAAAGAGGCCTTTCTTCTCCAGTAGGCCTAAGCAGTGCTAGCCCCAGTTCACAGAGCGTGTTTACTCCTCATCTACTTAATCGTTCCGTTCAACATGCCGCCACTTCCCCACGCTTCCACAATCATATCAGAACTTCCACCCAACATTGGTGCCTGAGAATGACTGTGACCCTCCCAATACGATCCATAGTCCTACTACCCCAGAACACTCTCCACTGTATTCCACCAAATCGGTTATTCCTCAACCTGCTCAGAAGTATCTTATTATGACACCACTCTCGTCTTCCTCCTCAAAGCGGCCGCTACACCCCGGATCCCCGTCAGCTATCCTCCCAGTATGTTCAAAGAAGCGGCTTAGATCTAGAAGATCCAGCTACCAACCCCGTCGCATTTCGAGGCCGGAAAAGACAGTAGTCCAAGAAACCTCAGGTTGTTTAGTTGTACTAACTGATGCATCTTTGCCTCCTCAACCTGGCAACACTTTCATCGCTACCAGTAGGTTCCGAGGTCCTGAATGACCTGAAAAATCTCGGGACACGTGTGCGCCAGATGGAAAGCGAAATGTCCTCCCTCCGAATCATACAATCGATTGCATGCCTTTTGTATCCTGACGCAACATGCGACCCAACCAACTTAGAAAAAGCGTCACTTCTTATTGACACGATTGCTTCTGAGATTTGTCAACGCATGGGATGCCGGCATCAAGTCCTAGTATTCAATGCACCTGATCGAATCCCACTTGAGCATACCGGAACTGCCATCCTGACTGCATGAGGCA